AAAATGGGGTTAATTTACTGAATGGTGGAATTGTGGCTAAAAGTTTTCTATCCTTCATTTTGAACACAATGTTGATAATATTTTAAATATTTATAATGCATAAATTCATGTCATGTATATCTGTACTTATTTATTCATATATGACTGGAAAGTAGATAGAAATGAAACAAAATATTTCCTATTTAGAGCTGAAGTCAACGAATATTTAGAATCTACCATATTCAAATTCTATGTTGATACTTTGATACAGAAATATGAAGGACAGATTCTCCTCTCTAGGTGTTTTCAGTGCAGTATGACAGATAGATGCTCGTCAAGAATATATTTAGTGCCAGATGTGGTGGCACCCCCCTGTAATTCCAGCAGCTCAGGAGAATGAGGCAGGAGGATCTTGAGTTCAAAGCCAGCTTCAGCAACTTAGCAAGACAATAAGTAACTCAGTGAGACCTTGTCTCTAAAAATATAAAATAGTGCTGGGGATGTGGCTCAGTGACTGAGTGCCCCTGAGTTCCATCCCCAGTACCCCCCACCAAAAAAAAAAAGAATACATTTAATACTTTAGTTGGATTTAAAAGGGGTAAAGTATCCAGCTCTTTTCATTTGCTTGCAAATGTCATATAGGTGTTCTTCTTTATGGTTAATACTACTTGGTGTATATATAGCACAAATTTTTTATCCATTCATCTCTTTAAGGGCACCTAGGTTAGCTTCCTAGTTTAACTATTATGAATTGAGCTACTATGAAAGCTGATGTGGCTGCATCACTGCAGTATGCTGATTTTAAGTCTTTTGATATAAACTGAGGAGTGAGATAGTTATATCAAATTGTGCTTCCATTTCTAGCTTTTGAGGAATCTCCATACTGCTTTCCAGAGCAGTTGCACCAATTTACTTTCCCACCAGCAATGTATGAGTATATCTTTTCACCCACATCCTTGCCAACACTGATTCTTACTTGTATTCTTGATAATTGCCATTCTGAATAGAGTGAGATGGAATCATAGTGTAGTTTTCATGCCAAGTGACATAAGCTTTTCCCAAAAAACAAAAGTGAAATGTTTCTGCTGACATATGAAAGGTAACCCACAATAACTAGGAAAGGGGAAGAATAAATATTCAGCAGGCTATACAAGGAGGAATGAGGGGAAGGAAGTGGAAATGAGAGAGAGCAAGACAGTGGAATTAATCTGAAATTTTCCTTTATATTTATATGAATACACCATAGTGAATCCCACCAGCATGTATGTCCATAAGGATGGGGTCCTAACTAGAATAAGATAAATTCCATGCTTGTACAATTACATCAAAATGAATTATAATGTATTTTATAATGAAAAAATAACCAAAAGTAAAAAATAAAAATGTTTATTAAACAAAAATAAACTAATTAATTTAAAATAAAATAGGTAATGTCTAGTCCTCATTATGAATCCACTTAGAAAATGTTGAAGATGGATCAGCGAGAATATTGGGGAAGAAAAATGCAGGAGATTACCAACATATGAAGAAAATAAATAAAAGGAAGACTCAAGTTAATAGAAAATCTTAATGTACTATATTTAATGAAATCATGGCTAGAGAAGGAAAATATAAGTAAAATACAAAAGGAAATACAAAAGGAGTATAAATGTAAGACTTTCTATTTAAGGTTTCCAAATAAATAAAATATAAACTAATAAAACAAGCTTGATTCAGCAATCCCAGAAGAATGGAAATGGGTGTGCTCAAGAGATATTTGCATGCATACGTTCATGGCAGCAGGACTCAGTAACCAAAGTATGGAAACGCACTAAGGATCCACCAGTGGATGAATGGATTTTTTTAAGTGTTATATAAATAAATGGACTACTTCTCAGTGTTTAAAAAACTGGAAATTCTGCCATTGCAATAACATGAATGAACCTAGAGAACATTATATTATGTGAAATAAGCCAGATAGAAGAAACAGGTACCATAGGGTCTCCTTATTTGTGCAATCTAAAACAGTTGACCTCACAGAAGAAGAGATAGAATGGTTACTACTAGAGTCAAAGGAGATGGTGCTGAGATGGGGAATGGAAAGTATTGTTCAACAGGTACAAAGTCTTAGACAGGAGGAAGATGGCTGGGAATGTAGCTCAGCAGGCAGGAGCCCCTGGGTTAAATCCCTAGCACCAAAAGAAAAAACAAAAGAAAGAAATAAGTTCTGTTGTCTGTTGCATAGCACATTGACTATATTAAGAATGTATCATATACTTTAAAATAGCTAAAAGAGAGAATTTTAAGTGCTTTTACATTGCATTTGAGGTCATTAGCCTTATCTGATCATTCTATACGGTGTGTGTATATCAGTATGTCACATTGTACCTCACAAATACATATAATTATTATCTGCCAATAAAAATAAAACTTGGAAAAAAAAAACAAGCTTGTGGGGCTGGGGTTGTGGCTCAAGTGGTAGCATGCTTGCCTAGCATGTGTGAGGCACTGGGTTCAATTCTCAGCACCACATAAAAATAAAATAAAGATATTATGTCCACCTAAAACTAAAAAAAAAATAAATATTAAAAAAACAAGCTTGAGGAACCAATTATTTGTATTATCAAATTATAAATGCCTATATTACAGAATGTACATTTCTAGATATTAACACAAATATTAATCTGTACATTAATTTAAAAATCCAAAAATGCATACCAAATATATTTCAAGTCTTCAATAAAGCTATCAAGCTTAGTGATTATTCTCTCTCTCTCTCTCTCTCTCTCTCTCTCTCTCTCTCTCTCTCTCTTTCTCTCTCTCTCTCTCTCTGACATTTGCAACTTAAAAAGTTTTTCAAAGGACCAGAAATCATGCACTCCACCAAAAATGACAAAGTAACATTAGACAACAGAGATCTTCACACATTTGGAATCTAGAAGGAATCTTTCAAACTCACAGTATGGTAATGATGTAAATTTACCAAAAATCATCAAAAGGGCAAATCAAGATGTGAAAAGATGAATGTGGTTGATGGACTAGAAAAAAATTAAGGTCAAGATTGCTTTTGTTCTATTTGTATACAAATATATGATATCCTCTAAGTAACAAATATTTAATGAACCCTATGAAGTTCTCAAGAAATGCTAAAGTAGGGCTAGTATAATAGTAGTCAGGAAAAAAGGCACAGACTCACGGCAAAAAAGGGGAAGGAAGATGAAATGGCAGAGGAAGTACTGGAGGAAAGTTAGGGCTCTTTGAAACAAGGTGGGTTAAGATGTAAATGTTCAATGATAGACTAGAGTTTAACTAATATTGATATAATGGACATAAGAAATTATGGATGAAACTGTATTGAATCTGGGAAATTTCTCAAAGTAACACAGGAATAGAAAGCAGGTAAATATATGCAGAAAAAGTCAGTGGTACCAGGCAGGGTGGCACATGCCTGTAATCAGAGCGACTCAGGAGGCTGAGTAGGAGGATCACAAGTTCAAGGCCAGTCTGGACAGCTTGGCAAGACCCTGTCTCAAAAAAACAAAAATAGCTGCAGATGTGGCTCTGTGGTAGAGCACTTGCCTAGGATGTGCAAGGCCCTTGGTTCAATGTCCAGTACAAAAGAAAGGAAGAAAGAAGGGAGAGAGGGAAGGAAGGAAAGAAGGCAGGAAAGAAGGCAGGCAGGTGGGAAGGAAGGAAGGAAGGAAGGAAGGAAGGAAGGAA